ATATATATATATATATATATATATATATATATATATATATATATATATATATATATTTATATATATACATTAATCACACCCAGAGGAAGTGCCCTTCCGTGTGTGTGTGTGAGTGAAAAAAATACGTATACAGTATATCCTGAAGTGGACAATAATTCACTAGCTCCTCTATATACCTCTCTCCCTTCCTCTCTTCTCTCTACACTCACTTCCTCTCTCCCCTTATTCTCTGCATCCCCCAATCTTATACACTTCCCCCTCATTTCAAACTTTTCCCCTCATCACGTCTAGTCCAACACTTCCTATACACCTCTCTCTCTTCTACTCTGTCCTATCCCCTCCCTCACCCTCTCATTTACCCTCTTCCCTCCCCATCCTCCATTCCTCCACCCTCCCAATATTATCCCTTCTCTCCAACTACGCCGGAGCGTGTGTGTCGCCCGGCCGCCTTCACGCCACCCACCACTTACTCCCAGTGTGTGTAATTTCTACGTGCCTAAGTCTGCCTACTTGTGCACGGAGAGAGAGAGAGAGAGAGAGAGAGAGAGAGAGAGAGAGAGAGAGAGAGAGACTACTGCAGAGGTTAACAAACATACCAGACAACAATTAAATATGTAACACATTGGTCCGGTCGATCAGCTGACAGAAAGTTAACACTGATCTGGTCGATCAGGTGACTGGATGTAAACATGTCGTTCTGGTCGATCGTCAGACAGGATGTAAACATGCTGGTCTGGTCGATCAGCTAACAAGATGTAAACAAACTGGTCTGGTCGATCATCAGACAGGATGTAAACAAACTGGTCTGGTCGATCAGCTGACAGGATGTAAACAAACTGGTCTCGTCGATCATCAGACAGGATGTAAACATGCCGGTCTGGTTGCTCAGCTGATGGGATGTAAACACAGCATTTGCATGGTTAATATACGAGTAGGTAGAGTCAGGCCTAACGTAGGTTGCCAGCTGAGCGGGAAGGAGAGAAGAGGTGCACAGGAAGACGGAGAAGAGGAGAGGAGAAGAGGTGCACAGGAAGAGAGAGAAAGGGAAGGGAGAAGAGGAAGGAGGGGAGGGAGAAAAGGTTCGCAGGTAGAAAGATAGAAGAGGAGCGAGAGGAATAGAAGGGATAGGTTATACAGGTTTGGTAGAAGGTGTGGGATAATGGGTGGGTGGGATGTGAAACTGTAGAGGAAAGGATGAATGGAAGTACATTGAGTGTGTGTGTGTGTGTGTAGGAACAGGTAACGATTGATGGTATGAGAGAGAAAGAGAGAGCAGTTGTCAGGGAGAGGAAGGACCCGACATAGTGGATGTTCCTCTTTAAAGTCCTGCTGCCCTAGTGAAGGGGGCGGAGGAGTGAAAAAGAGAGAGAGATAATATTCCTTTACTTCTCTTATTGTCTTCGTAGTTCCTGTTTATTTCGACTTTCTCTTGTTTCTCTCCTTTGTTCCTATTACCCCGCTCTCTCTCTCCTCTTTTTCTCCTCACTCCTTTCTGTTGCAGTAAAGGTGGAAGTTGTCCCTCCACTACCACCATCACCTCCACTACCACCATCACCCTCCACCACCATCAATCTCCACTACCACCACACCTCCACTCACCACCATCACCCTCCATCACCACCACTCACCCTCCATTACCACCATCACCTCCACTACCACCATCATCCCTCCACTACCACCATCACCCCTCCACTATCACCACCATCACCCTCCACTACCACCATCACCCTCCACTACCACCATCACCTCCACTACCACCATCACCTCCATTACCACCACATCATCCCTCCACTACCACCATCATCCCTCCACTACCACCATCACCCCTCCACACCACCATCACCTCCCACTACCACCACTCACCCTCCACTACCACCATCACCTCCACTACCACCATCACCCTCCACTACCACCATCACCCTCCACCTCCTACCACCATCACCCTCCACTACCACCACACTCCCTCCACTCACCTCACCACATCACCCTCCACTACCACCATCCCTCCACTACCACCATCACCCCTCCACTACCACCATCACCCTCCACTACCACCATCACCCTCCACTACCACCATCACCTCCCACTACCACCATCACCCTCCACTACCACCATCACCCCTCCACTACCACCATCACCCTCCACTACCACCATCACCCCACTACCACCATCACCCCTCCACTACCACCACATCATCCCTCCACTACCACCATCACCTCCACTATCACCATACCACCACTCACTACCACCATCACCTCCACTACCACCATCACCCTCCACTACCACCACATCACCTCCGCTACCACCATCATCCCTCCACCTACCACCATCACCCCTCCACTACCACCATCACCCTCCACTACCACCATCACCCTCCACTACTCACCATCACCCCTCCACTACCACCACCACCCTCCACTACCACAACTCACATCACCCCTCCACTACCACCATCACCCTCCACTACCACCATCACCTCCACTACCACCATCACCCTCCACTACCACCACCATCCCTCCACTACCACCATCACCCTCCACTACCACCATCATCCCTCCACTACCACACATCACACCCTCCACCACCACATCATCCCTCCACTACCACCATCACCTCCACTACCACCATCACCCCTCCACTACCACCATCACCTCCACTACCACCATCACCCTCCACTACCACCATCACCCTCCACTACCACCATCACCCTCCACTACCACCATCACCCTCCACCACCATCACCCTCCACTACCACCATCACTCCTCCACCTCCACCATCACCCCTCCACTACCACCATCACCCTCCACTACCACCATCATCCCTCCACTACCACCATCACCCTCCACTACCACCATCACCCTCCACTACCACCATCACCCTCCACTACCACCATCACCCTCCACTACCACCATCACCTCCACTACCACCATCACCCTCCACTACCACCATCACCCTCCACTACCACCATCACCCCTCCACTACCACCATCACCCCCTCCACTACCACCATCACCCTCCACTACCACCATCCTCCACTACCACCATCACCTCCCACTACCACCATCACCCTCCACTACCACCATCATCCTCCACTCCACCTCACCACCATCACCCTCCACTACCACCATCACCCCTCCACTACCACCATCACCCCTCCACTACCACCATCACCCTCTCCACTACCACCACCCTCCACTACCACCATCACCCTCCACTACCACCAACACCCTCCACTACCACCATCACCCTCCACTACCACCATCACCCTCCACCACCACCATCACCTCCACTACCACCATCACCTCCACTACCACCATCACCCCTCCACTACCACCATCACCCTCCACTACCACCATCACCTCCACTACCACCATCACCCTCCACTCACCACCATCACCCTCCACTACCACCATCACCCTCCACTACCACCATCATCCTCCACTACCACCATCATCCCTCCACTACCACCATCATCCCTCCACCACCACCACCATCACCCTCCACTACCATCATCACCTCCACTACCACCATCATCCTCCACTACCACCATCACCTCCACTACCACCATCACCCTCCACTACCACCATCACCTCCACTACCACCATCACCCTCCACTACCACCATCACCCTCCACTACCACCATCACCTCCACTACCACCATCACCCTCCACTACCACCATCATCCCTCCACTACCACCATCACCCGTCGAAGCTTGTTATCGGCACCTTCCTCCTCATCCTCTGTACCACTTCTTAACTCACTATAAGACGAAGCCCGTGAGGTACAGGCAGACAAACCCCTAGAATCATCTCCAGGTACGAACCAGGTATGTATGTATGTATGTATGTATGTATGTATGTATGTATGTATGTATGTCATCATTTTGTAACCTGTCCGCAGGAAGAACCCCCCCTTCCTCTTTGGTGACCTGGTCCGGGGTGCACCAGAGAGTCATGACCTGGTCCGGGCACCAACGGGTAATGATCCTGGTCCAGGGCGTACCAGCGGGTCATGAGCTGGTCCGAGCGTACCAACGGGTAATGACCTGGTTCGGGGCGTCCCTGTGGATCATGACCTGGTTTGAGTGAGATGTACCGTGGGTGGGTGAGTAGGTGGGCGGGTCCTCTGGGTACGTTCAGTGCCACGGGCCTGGGGAACTGAGCCGCCATGTGCTTTAAGAGTGTGTGGAGGGTGGGGGCGTATTCTTCTTTGTACCTGTAATCTCAGCACGTAAGTAACCCAGTTGAGCTATTTCCGTATGTAAGTCTTGTTGCGACTATGTATTTGTGTACATTCTCGTATGTATGTATACAGTATATAAAGAATGCACACTAATTGTTTTTTCTCCCCATCACACACACACACACACACACACACACACTGTGACTTGTGTCGTTTTCTCCCATAGGTCCTTCAGATAGGTCATGCCCGTCTTCCAACACCTGGGCTCTGAACCTACCCTCTGTGGTGTGTCGAGGAGGCGGAATTTCCGACCATCTGGGCACACACATTCTTTTCTCTCTCTCTCTCTCTTTGAAGCTTCAAAATAAATGCGTATGAATTATTCCTCTTTTTTTAAAGTGACCATAAACTTTCACCGGAAATAACAATCAAATTGACCGAGAAAGTTTCAGTGCAAGTAACAGTGAAAGTGATCAAGATTATTTCGATTGAAGTAATGAAGAAAGGTCAAGTAAAGTGATTAGAAAATATTGGGACATGAGTAAGAAAAATGTCGGTAAAAATGTTCAAGAAAATGCCTTAGAAAGTAACGAAAATTAAGAAAAAGACGTTGGAAATTATAAAAAAAAAGACCAAGGATTGACGGAGGAAGAGAAAGTGGTCGAGATGTGGGAGAAAGTAACCGAGGAAGGGACCAAGAAAATGTCTAAGAAAATTAGCAAAGAAGTTTTGAAGAAAGTGTCTGAGAATTGACCAAGAAAGTGTTGGTGAAAGTGACCAAGTATCAGGGAAAATTACCAAGGATATATCAAAGAAAATGACCAAGAAAGTAACGGCGAAAAATGAACAAGTATCGGAGAAAGTGTCAAAGAAAGTGAGGGTGAAAAATACCAAGTATCGGAGGAAGTGTCAAAGAAAGTGACCAGAAAGTGGTCGGAGAATAGTGACTAAGCCTAGATAATATGGAGAACAAATATCACAAATTTTTCAGTTCATTCTCTCTTTTATTAATTTACTTTATTATTATTATTATTTTATTGCTCACACACACACACCACCACACCCACACACCACAACCACACACCACACCACACACACACACACACACACACATTATACTCATCCATTATTTTACAGTATTAGCACTCTCATTTTTAATAAAAAAAATAAATCAATCAAATATATATATATATATATATATATATATATATATATATATATATATATATATATATATATATATGCTGATAACCACAAGGAAAGAAGAAAACACGAAGTTCCCAAGCTGTGTAATTCACATCTTCGGGGTGAGTACAGATCCCTAGTACAGATACCTAGATCACGCACCTACAGTGATTTATTTGCATATATATATATATATATATATATATATATATATATATATATATATATATATATATATATATATATATATATATATTTATGTAAATCCACAATGAAAACGTGGATAAGATAAATCTTGATAAAATCACACGGGAAAGGGGAAACAACGGAGCACCAGTTGCCTCTGAAGATGTCTTGAATATAGACGAAAGCTAAGGTGCTCCGTTGTTTTCCCTGTGTGATTTTATATATATATATATATATATATATATATATATATATATATATATATATATATATATATATATATATATAGTTTTTATTGTTGTTATTCTTATTATCCTTTGTTTGTCTTTATTTATTATCATCTTTATTGTTTTTATTAATTATAATCTTTATTGAATTTAATTTGTTGCTTTTTCTTGCTTATTTTTATTTTTATTTTCCCTTATTGGTTTTTCCTGTAGAGATTAAGTACTAATATTTCCTTTAGTAATTACATGTACATATAACGTAAGTCAGAAAAATACATAGTAAGTACCCTGTTCCCATGTGTATTTGGACCTAAGATATATTGTAGATATGTGTTTATAATAAATAATAATAATAATAATAATAATAATAATAATAATAATAATAATTAACGGTTTATTGAAAGAGCATAGCAGCCGGAAGGCTGAAAATATACAGTTACATAATTGGGGAATGGGTCTCTTGATTTACAAATAATATACAAGTAACATAAGTGATACAAATATGATAAATAATAACTAGGTGGGGAAAAGCTCAAACTACAGAGCATTTCAACATATTGACTGGGCAAAAAGTATGATTGACTGGGAGTGAATACACTGGTTGATTACAAGTTATCAGTTCGTGCTCGTATGGGCTGGATGCAGTGTGGTGTCGAACAGCAATTCTCGGACGAGGGATCTCGGGTGGTAGCAGGAGCCGTGTCGAGGATGGTGCAGAAGCTTCTCGCCAAATTTGCAGATGAGGTTGTGGTGATGGTCAGTGAGATCCGAGAGGCCAGTGTGTTGAGCGCTTCTTGATATGTGGAGTAGGAAGGAGAAAGAATAATCTTTCATGCTCTCTTATGCACTTTTTCTAGGGGTTTTCCTTGTGTGGCATTTAGGGAGGAATACCAGGTATGGGAGGCATAGGTGAGCTTGAGAAGTATGAATGTTGAGAAAACACTGAGGAGCTCGGGCGCAGGAACCTGAGGGACTTAGAGTCGGCGGAGGAGGTGTAGATGGAAATGAGGATTTGACAACTTCACTGACGTGTGGTTTCCAATTTAGTTTGTTTGCGGTGGCGCTGAGGGCTTAGTGGAATCTACAACCTGGAGTTGGGGCTCAAAGTAATGGAAGGGTGGAGAACGTCGGAGGAGAGGTTGATGTGCATAACCATGGTCTTGGTATGGTTGATGGGGACGTGGTTGTTGGTGGCCCAGTTTTGGAGATTGTTCAATAAATCCTGAAGGGCGGTATAGTTGGGAGTAGAATTGTTAACACTGATCCCAATGGTGGAGTCGTCGACATATTTCCAGCAAGCAGGGGTTTCTCTTAGGGAATCATTGATAAGCATAAGGGAGCATAGTGGTCCCTTCTTGGTGCCTTGGGGAACGCCACAGGTGAGTGACTGAAAGGTGGAGACAGCCCCCTGGAAGCGTGTGTGTGTGTGTGTGTGTGTGTGTGTGTGTGTGTGTGTGTGTGTGTGTGGATGCACAGCTTTTGTCATGACAAGGGTGCTAAGAGTCAAGACTGCCCTTTGCTCTTTTTTTAAAAGTCCTTCAACTTCTCCTTTATGGCCTTACCTTCCACACCATTTTATTATCCAATTATCTTAATACAAAAGTATTCACCCTAACTGAGTTAGTTAAGCCGCAGATCGGTGGGGCATTCTGTGACTGTTGCTTTCGAGTCTATGTCTGACTTGGGTTTAAGGACCAATGATCCTGTTCCAGGCATAGCAACGTAATCTCTGAGCTCCTGCTTCTGTTCTGATAATACCTCGGCCAGTCTGGCATAGAAGTACCTTGCACTAGGTCCCATCCCGCTCTATTCTTGTCATTCTCATTCCTCCTGTCTGCAGCCTCGAGAGACAGGTCTTGGTGACATGCAGCCAGAGGATCAAAGATTCTGATGTCAAAGAAGACTCACTGTCACCACGCCCAGAATCCTCAAGCATTGACATCCACATGGGTTTCGTTTGTTGTGTTGGCAGCGCTCATTGTCCAATGGGAGGAGGGTCGGTTCCACAATTGACGTCGTGGCATACCGCAAATTTGATGTGAGGTCCCTTACTTCATCGTGCCCTTCATATGAAACCTCTTGTCTTGTACAGCATGGCGTTGTTGATGTCGTTGGGTGTTCCGTACACGCACTGGGCGGGCATGCCTTCCACTGGCCTACTGTACCTCAGACTCAGAGCAATGTCGTCTGTGATACTAATGCTACTACTATTATTAGCTCTGAAAGTCGCTGGTTACCCTTCCTCCCGCCGATTATTGCCTGCACTGTATGCTGTCGCAGATTATGACTCGGTATATCTTGTGACTGGTCTCTCTCTGCAGCTCTAAACGATTGATATGATCCCTTTAGGTAAATTTAATTGGATATCAAGAATATTATAGTTACATCGCCTGAGTCACGGTTACACAACGTGGTGACAAGGGTAACATTCTCTCTGTTGTCACCAGCGTCACGTAACTCCCACACGACACGCACGCACTCACCCTCAAATTACAGGTTCGTGTCCACCTACTGTATCCCTACACACGTGCCTTACCCCTCAAAATTGTCATGATTTAGTTAACTATGGCTCTTTCATATATATATTATTGCATAAATATTATTATTATTACATATTATTATTATTATTAACATACATATTTAAAAAAATACAACACACATTTTAACACATACACATACTAACACACATATTTACTTATTATTACATATTATTATTATTATTGTATTATTATTATTAATATTATTATTATTATTTATTATTATTATTATTAATATTATTATTATTATTATTATTAATATAAATATTATTATTATTATTATTATTATTATATATTATTATTTATTATTATCCTCTTAAAAAAAATAACCAGCTCTCTCTATTTCAGGTAAGCTTGATAACACCTGTTCAGCTGAGGAACTCACCGTCACAACAATGGTTTGGTGGTAGACGAGTAGACTGCTAGACTGATATAAATGACATAGATAATTAAAATATTGACATTACAACTCAAACACGTGGCAGCAGGAGTTATTTTTTTTACGTGAAAAGAATTTGGGTGTATTGTTGTTTAATAATAATAATAATAATTGACGGTTTATTGAAAAAGTTCTGCAGCCCGAAGGCTGAAAATATACATTGGACATAAATGACTTATTACATACATTGGTGGTTTAACAAAAGCCTTCGTTAGAGAAAGGTAAAGGAACATACAGTGAACAAACAGATTATTGTAGGTGTGAACAAGCAAAAACGTAGTGTAGTAACTCCCTTCCAGATGGTGTTAGAGGGACTCACGTGGTGTAGTAGTTCCTCACAGATGGTGTGAGGGGCTCACGTGGTGTAATTCTCACAGATGGTGTTAAGAGGCCTCACGGTAGTACTCTCACAGATGGTGTTATGAGGGCCTCACGTGGTGTAGTACCTCACAGATGGTGTTATGAGGGCCTCACGTGGTAGTAATTCCCCACAGATGGTGTTATGAGGGGCCCTCACGTGGTAGTAACTCCTTCACATGGTGTTATGAGGGCCTCACGTGAACCCTCACAGATGGTGTTATATGATGAGTGTGGTTCCAGGCCTTCTATCGTAGGACAGATTAACACATCACTGGTTTTTGGGTCTCATGCCGTTATCACTGGGTACCTGGGACCTCACTGTGTGAAGGTCAACTTGGGTACCACTGTTACTGTTGAGTTTTTCTCACTGACTTAAGCACTGTTCACCACCGTTCACCTCTATTTAACACTGGTTTCCCTTTCTTAAATGAAATAGTAATTCTGGCGAGAACATGTTGATATTCCGGTGGGGAGGAGGGTTCAGGAGGGAGTTGGTATAACCAACTACAGTTGACCTGGCTGCCTGAGAGTGCCAGGTACGTCTTGACCCTTCGGTGGTCAAGGATGTAGCTGTGTGTGTGTGTGTGTGTGTGTGTGTGTGTGTGTGTGTGTGTGTGTGTGTGTTAAAGGAAGAATAAGAAGAGTATTGTTGTGTTGTGAGGATTGAGAGTGGTGGGTAGAGGGGGTGAGGAGTGGTGTTAGAGGAGGAGGGGGTGGTGGTAGAGGTGGGAGGAGTAGTGAGGGGGAGGAGGGTGGTGGTAGGAGGTGAGGGAGGTGGTGGTAGAGGTGAGGAGGAGTGGTGGTGGGAGGTGAGGGGAGGAGGGTGGGTAGAGGTGAAGAGGAGGGTGGTAGAGGTGAGGAGGGTGGTGGTAGAGGTGGGAGGAGGAGGGTGGGTAGAGATGAGGAGGAGTGGTAGAGGTGAGGAGGAGGAGGGAGAGGG